ATAGTATTGTCAGCATGATATCTAACAGAGGACTGTACGATCCCTTATCTAAAGGACAAGATTGATTAGATCAGAGTTTGACAGCGTCTTTGAGAGCTACGATTGCAAATCGGAATGCACCTGCACATATAGTTACTAGAGTTATCCAAGTAGGAGAATGTTGGAATAGTATCTAAGGCTACAACTATATTAGGCAAGTATTTGACCCGATTGTGCATGGTCCTTTTGGGTTGCCTTCACCATACCAACTTGGTAGGATGATTTATTATGAGAGAATAGATATTATTAATATATTATGAGAATAATATAAGGAATAATAATATAGTTATTTGATTAATATAAGTCATAGATTAATTAGTATAATTTGGTGACTTAAGGAGATTAATTAAATAAGAGGGTATAAACTGTCAATTGCTTGATAGTTAAACTTTAGACAGTAAATCCTTATTGGATAAACGGTTGGACGAATTCTAGGCTAGGATAAGCCCTAAATTCATCCAAAGGATATCTAAGGTAAGGATATGGATTAACTTAAAGTCTAAGTTATCCAACTAGGGTTTAAGCTGTAACCCTTAAGGAGTCTACAAGTATAAATAGACCCTATGGGTGAGGGAATTTGGCACGCCATCTAAGTAAAGATACTATGGCTGAATTCCTCCCCTCTCCTCTCTCTCAAATCATCCTCTTTGCTAGTTGGTGTTTGTAAGCCATTAGAGTAGTGACAATTGTTACTCTAGAGCTCCAAGACAACAAGATCAAACAAGAGAATCAAAGGTATGTTTCTAGATTTGATTTTGTGTTGTTCTTACACCTAATAAGTCATTAGAAGCCTTGGATTCAAAGCATGTTTAATAGAGAAACCTAGATCCAAGCATTAGAGTTTGTATGCGCACTTAGGATTGTTCTTATGTACAAAACCCATCATTTTGATGGTTAAAAACTGTATAATACCAATTATAGGAAATTATATAATTTTGTTTGTTTTATCATAATAACAATTAATGGACAAATATACCCTTGCTAAAACAATCTTAATTAACATATAAAACATATAATATATAAATGACTGTTATACCCCTGTGTTAGCATAAACACAGGTTACAACTAAGTTTCAAAGTACATTGTCATCTTAATAAAAAATTATCTAAAACATGGAAAAAATGCAACACATGGACATAATTAACATATAAAATATAGAATGATAAGTAATTACGATTTTGCCCGTAAGACAATTACATTAAAAATAACATCAAATATGGACATATAATATATAAATGACTGTTATACCCTTGCTAAACAATCTTAATTAACATATAATACATATAATATATGAATGACTGTTATACCCCTATGTTACCATAAACATAGTTTACAACTAAGTTTCAAAGTACATTGCCATCTTAATAAAAATTATCTAAAACAGGGACAAAAGTGCAACACATGGACATAATTAACACATAAAACATATAATGATAAGTAATTACCATTTTGCCCATAAGACAATTACATTAAAAACAACATCAAATCTGGACATATAATATATAAATGACTGTTATACCCTTGCTAAAATAATTTTAATTAAGATATAAAACATATAATATATAAATGATTGTTATACCCCTGTGTTAGCATAAACACACTTTACAACTAAGTTTCAAAGTACATTGCCATCTTAATAAAATTTTTTATCTAAAACAGGGACAAAAATGCAACACATGGACATAATTAACATATAAAATATAGAATGATAAGTAATTACCATGTTGCCCATAAGACAATTACATTAATAACAACATCAAATCTGGACATATAATATATAAATGACTGTTATACCCTTGCTAAACAATCTTAATTAACATATAATACATATAATATATGAATGACTGTTATACCCCTATGTTAGCATAAACATAGTTTACAACTAAGTTTCAAAGTACATTGCCATCTTAATAAAAAATTATCTAAAACAGGGACAAAAATGCAACACATGGACATAATTAACATATATAATTATAGAATGATACGTAATTACCATTTTGCCCATAAGACAATTACATTAAAAACATCATCAAATCTGGACATATAATATATAAATGACTGTTATACCCCTGTGTTAGCATAAACACAGGTTACAACTAAGTTTCAAAGTACATTGCCATCTTAATAAAAAAAATTATCTAAAACAAGGACAAATATGACTCAGTTACAAGTTATGCAAAACATGGATATAATTAACATATTAAATTATTATGATAACTAATCCCGATGTTGCCCTAAGACATTTATATTGCAAACACCATCAAATTTGGGTATATAACATGTAATAAACTGTTATACCCTTGTGTTAGCAAACAACATTGCCTTTTTAACAACATAATATATCAAAACAGGGACATAAAGTAAAACATCAAATGTAGACTTACTATATAATCAAAACAATATGACCTATAGACATAATATATAACAATTCATTAAATAAAAGCGTTTCATATTAAGTACAAAAGTAGAGTATCATATTCACTCTATATTAATCACAAAAAAGATTAGAACGTAGTTCACCTAGGATATGTTTTTCCATGCTGCGATATCTTCTTTCGCCATGTCCATAGCATCCTGCATTTTTTCTCTTGGAATTGTCATGTTTAGCATATGTTGGATGTATGCTATTCCATCATCAACCCAAGCTGTTGGATGTTCTGTTACAAACATATGAATAAGCTTCTCAACACGTTTGGCTGGAGAGTTCAAAAAGTGTGGGAAATTGTTTGGAACAAACACACATCTGTGTTCAACATAGAGATGTTCAATATCTTTGAATTCATGGGCCCTAACTAATATCTTGAATGGTTCCAAACATTCATCATTTAGTATTGGAACCATTAACAACCCATTGTGTTCTCCGATGGGCATATGATACCAGTTCCCCAAACTGGTATACCGAAGGCTTCTAGAACAACGCCCAAGCAACTCCATGTCTAACAAATCGATGTTCACATGAGAAATGAAGTGAACCTTGGTCTGTTGATACGCCTTTCCTGGGTAGTCTGTAAAGAACCCACCATAGACAACGCGAATGATGAAACGTTTGTCGTTTGCCTTCCCGTATTCAACCACCGGTTTGTTTTTTGGTGGTTCTGCGCTTACACTCTACAGATTGAAGTTCGGACGGGCCCACGGATCAGCATTCATCTTCTATTATGAAAATCGATGTATTTTTTTTCAAACAGGAAGAAGGAGTAATCGAAGTTATCGTAACCTAATGACTATGTGAGAATGAAGAAATTGACATAACCGAACGGCTTATAAGGATCATCATTCGGAGGTGAAGTGACGTCGACTGAGGCCATCACTTCACCGATTAATTGTAGTCTATAGAGGTGGATTTAGAACGACAGTTATTCGGCTATGATAATGATTACACATTTTTGTATTACACATTAATATATCCAGTATTTACATTAATATGTATTATATTCATGTAAAAAATAATCTACAATATTAATTAAATATAATATCCATACTAGCATTGTTTTTTCTTATCAAACAAAAAATTAAATTTATATATAACTTTTTAATTAATATGTAAAATTAATTTCTTTTTACCTCATTTGGTCATGTATGGGTGTTGGTTTTGGGTTTGGACCTCATTTGGTAATGTCTATAGTGTTGGTTGTGGGTTTGGACCTCATTTAGTCATGTCCATAGTGTTGGGTGTGGGTTTTGACCTCATTTGGTCATGTCCATAGTGTTGGTTGTGGGTTTTGACCTCATTTGGTCATGCATGGGTGTTAGTTGTGGGTTTGGACATCATTTGGTCATGTCCATAGTGTTGGTTGTGGGTTTGGACCTCATTTGGTCATGTCCATAGTGTTGGTTGTGGGTTTGGACCTCATTTGGTCATGTATGGGTGTTGGTTGTGGGCTTGGACCTCCTTTGGTCATGTCCATAGTGTTGGTTGTGCGTTTGGACCTCATTTGGTCATGTCCATAGTGTTGGTTGTGGGTTTGTGCCTCATTTGGTCATGAATGGGTGTTGGTTGTGGGTTTGGACCTCATTTGGTCATGTCCATAGTGTTGGTTGTGGGTTTGGACCTCATTTGGTCATGTCCATAGTGTTGGTTGTGGGTTTGGACCTCATTTGGTCATGTCCAGAGTGTTGGCTGTGGGTTTGGACCTCATTTGGTCATGTCCATAGTGTTGGTTGTGGGTTTGGACCAAATTACGCCTACTAGACCATCTTATTATTTTTGTTATTTAAAAATATTTTTCCCTTATATATATAATTTCTTAATTTTATATATTTTTATTTCAAATAGCCATAAATGTTTTTCCAAAAAATAAATTGTTATCTTAGAAGGACCAAATATGTAATATTTATATTCTTACCAAATAAATCATACTAATTTTTGAAAATACACGACATGTTTCCAAGCCATGATTTTTTCTTCTAATCGTATGGGATTACTATGAGATCAAAATTTGAAACACATTTGAATCTGTCAAACGAATTTAAACAAAAACTAATGAGAGGCAAATATTTTTTTGTATGGATTTTGGGCTCAAAATCAAAGCGGGATATCTTCATCTATCACACCGCCAAAAGTATGAAGATCAATCCCGGTAATTTTTGGTAACCTCCATCAATTTAGGACCTGTTATATCATTTTAATATTTAATAGGGTGTCATTTATTCCACCATTGTTTTGTTTAGCGTTTGGTTATATCCCAGAAGGATCATACTTCAGTTCATCATTCATCAAGCTTTCTAGTGTAAGTACATTGTTTGTGTACGTATAGTTTCAATGTTATTGATTGTATTGATCACGGATCATGCATAACACAAAGAATTTTGATTCTTCAAGTTGGTGTGGTTCTTGCACACAAACTGTTCGATGAAATGTTTATGTGAGCAATTGTCTGTAATATTATTTGTTCATACACTATCATTAAACTTATAAATAATCAAACTTATTTTCAATCTGTTTTGTCAACATAAGAATCATGGAGGTTGACAAGGAACAACATGAGGATATCTCTACGTATAATACAAAATATGAGCCAGATGATGGAAACCAAGAATATGATTCGCCTACAGAGAATGGTGAAAATAAAGACATTCACTACAATAGCCAATCAGATTCGGAAGAAGAAATCCACAAAACAGTTCCTTCAAAATCAGATAGGAAGAGGGGCATGACTCGATTGCCAAAACTAAAGAGTGAATATGTCAATTCTGGTGGAAAAAAATGTGTCAGGTTTGATGAATTTGGTAAGTTTACAGGGAATAATAATGCAGTCTTTGTTAGCTATTTGCGTGATCTTGTCCGCAAGAAGGTGGGATTAAGTGCTCTTTGCTGGAAAAAATTTAAACCGGAAATGAAGGACAAACTATGGGAAGAGATAACAGTAAATATTTTCTTCAATTTATTAATCTGTATAACATAATATATATATAAATATCATGTTTTAAATACTAACATTCTCATTGCTTTTTTAGCGCTATTTTGAGGTTCATGAAAGTGGAAAACAATTTGTGATGAATAGACTTGGTATTCTTCTACGGAATTTCAGAAGAAAGTTGTATGCAGATTACATCAAACCATCTAGGCGATACAGATATGCTTGAAAAAAAATCCCAGTTCGTTATCGTGCACTAATCACTGAACAAGATGATTGGAACAAATTTGTGACTTATACACAATCTCAAGAGTTTAATGTTAAAATCTTTTTTCAAAACTTATTCATTTATTTATCCTAATCTGGGTTCTAAAAGTTCGTGACAAATATGTTACTTTTAATTCACAGAATGTGTCACAAAGGACTATCAAAGCGAGAAAGATGTCAAAGTATGATCATCGGATGGGACGAGGGGGGTATACAACTCTTAGGAGGAAGTTGGTAAGCTACATTAACTTCATATCATTTTATTTAACATGCTTTTGTTTCATATTCTTTATAATTTAATTTTTTTTATCAAGATTGAAGAGAATGTGATTTCGAAGGACGAAATTCCCCCAAGGTCAGTTATGTGGTGTAAAGGGCGTGAAAGTAAAGGAGAAATTAAGGATGAAGATGTTAAAATCATGGCTGATAAACTAGTAACTTCAATACAGTTTTCTTTTTCTTTTACTTTAAATATTTTAATCATTGATATTAACACAATAATTATTAATTTTTTGTTTGGTAGATGGAACATGAGAAGAGGATAAAAGAAGGACACGTAAATGTTGAACCAGGAACGGATACCATGACCTTAGTTTTTGGAAAGGAAAAGGGCGGATTTTTAAAGGGTGTGGCACGAGAGTCACTTACAACAGATATTTCAATGTTCCACGCAGCAAAGGATCATCTAAGGAAGAAATTAAAGATCTTAAATTTGCACTGCATAATGGAAAACTTGAGCTTGAGAAAAAAGATGATGAACTCAAGGCTTTGTCTACAAAGGTTAATGAACAAGATCAAACACTAAAGCTAAATTTGGCTCATCTTAATGAAAAAGGAGCTAACTTTCCAAATCTATCTCATACAATTATAAGTAATCTTATTGAAAATATATGTTGTCAATGATAGTTAGAAATTGCATTTCTTTTAAACATTTTTCCTGTTTCTTTATATTTGTCACACCCCAAAACCGATAACGGCGGAATACGTTTTGGGGTGGAGGACGTCATGTACAGTATCATCACGATTTCATAATAGTAAAAACAAGAAACATACAACCATTTCATTTACATAGTGAGTTTAGCTACAAGTGTGTTTCGTAATGTTCAACAAACACCAAAAGTAATACAAAAATAAGAGATGGATCTTGTATGCTCCACCTTCTCCAAAATGTTGCACCTGTACCTGTCTATCTTTGACCTGAGGATACAAGTTATTTTGAAAAAGAATATCAGCATAAAGCTGGTGAGTTCATAAGAGTTTAGTGTGAGTTTTTGAAATCAAAAAGCATTAGAACCGATAGTGTGAAAAGCTGTAATTCACAGTCATAAGTAATAGTAAAACCTAGAAAATCCTATATTTTCCAGAAAAACATTGTAAGTGAAAACCTTTAAGAAACATGTCATTTTCGTCTTTGAAAACCATTTATCGTAAAAGTATAATAGTGACTCTCCAAAAAGTAATGCAATATGGTAAGTTATGCCTGAAGTCAATAATAGTGGTACCAACTTCCTTTAGTGCTACATACTTGGTTACTTCGGGATATTAACTTAACCTTTAGTTTAGTATTTTAGTGCGGTTATAGTGTATTCCTTGTATGTTTCCGATAGTGTGAGAAATAGAGGACCCCATGACCTTCCCGGTCATACATAGTGTAGTGAAGTAGTGGCATCCCTGGGCCTGCACGGCTCGGACTGAAGTTAACAGTTGGGATGTTAAATTGTACTTTAGTTTAGTAGTTTAGTTTGGATATAGTGTATTCCTTGTATGTTACCGATAGTGTGAGCAATAGAGAACCCCATGACCTTCTCGGTAACACACAGTGTAGTGAAGTAGTGGCATCCTTGGGCCTGCACGGCTCGGACTGGAGTTAACAGTCGGGATATTATAGTGTCTGCCCCGTATAGATCTATACATGTAGTGTCGTCTTCCGGTCGGAAAAACTTTGGGCATAGTATGTAGCGAATAGAGTATCTCGTAGTGAGTTAGTGTGTTATCTTTTGTTTAGTGTCTTTTCTTGTATTATAGTCTAGTAGTCTTTTGTATAGCTCGTAGTGTGTTCTCTTACTAATGTATCGTCTCGTAATAGTGTGTATTATAGTGTGTAGAGTAGTAGTGATAGCGAGTAGTAATCGCCTTAACTATACCTATTATAGTTAACTTAGTGTGTATAATTCTTACCAATTTAGTAGTTTAAACATCGGATGAAATGAAAATGCTCGTATCCAACACTAATATACATGATATATAACTAAGAAATCAATGATAGTCGGACGGATAACAACTACCCTAAGCCTACAATCAAACAAGAACAGGAAATAAGGCGAGCTATCGGTCCTAAGTCCTTCAAGTCTTACTTATATAAATATATTAGTGTGGTTACATTTTATAAGAAAATTTATTTAAGAAAAATCTTGTCCAAAGTGAACATTTAAAAAGTTGTTTATTTATTCAAATAGTTTTCAAAACGTAAAATCCTTTTATAATCATATATGACTGTATAAGGGTTTATAAGGCTATACAAGAGGGTGTATGGCCAAAATACACACTATATGTGTGTGTGCGGCCAGGTGTGCGGACTAGTGTGCTGCCGGCACTTGTGTGCGGTCCTATGTGCGGCCATGTGTGTGTGTACGGCTACACACAAGTGTGTGTGGTCGTACACTCCTCTTCTGAGTCCAAATGAAGTGTTTGCTCTTCACTTTAAGGAGTTTTGAATGTGTGCTGCTCCCTCATGAAGGTGTGCGGCCGTTCACCTTCAAGGGTCCATGAATATGATGAACATGATGAGTTCTAAGGCTTCGGACTCATGTGTTTACCTCTAATAAGCTTGAAGATGTACTAGATCACAAATATGAGGTCTTCAAGGTGTTCTTGGTTCAAGATTTTATAGAGAAAGTAGGGAGAGAGTAAAGAGTATCCAAATTAATGAATGAAGAAGGTACCCAGCTATATATATGTTTGAGTGTGAGGCTGGAGAGTGTGTGGTTGGGTGTGCGGCCGCACACATGGGTGTGTGGCCGTTCACACAAAAGTGTGGCCGCACACACCTCTTTTGGTGTGTTTAATTCGATTTCATGATGCAAAACACTTTCCAACACCTCCCAAGACCCATAACTAGACTATATTGTGTCCAAAATGCATTTGGAACCACAAGATTTCCAAAGGGGTGATGAATTCAAGATTTAAAGACAATACGGGGACCAATTACATAGGATGAAAGTTTCGGGCTGTCACATTATCCCCCCGTTATAGGGAATTTTGTCCTGAAATTTAGAATTTCTAAGAGAGTAGTTACAGAACTATTAGGTAAAAAGATGGGGATATTTGAGTTTCATTTGATCCTCGCGTTCCCAAGTGAATTCAACGAACCTTCACAATAGGGATACAGCTTTGTTTCGTCTGCTTGACCTCACGGTCCATGACTTCTATGGGTTCTTCCACGAAATTGAGGCTCTCGTTGATCTCGATCTCGTCGAGTGGAATCACGAGAGTCTCGTCTGACAGGCATTTCTTCAAGTTTGAGACGTGGAAGATAGGATGTATGTTACTTAACTCGTGGGGTAAGTTAAGTTTGTAAGCTACGGGGCCGATTCTGGCGAGAATCTCGAAAGGCCCTATGTACCTTGGGTTCAGCTTTCCACACTTTCCGAAGCGTATCGTGCCCTTCCAGGGCGAGACCTTCAAAAGAACTCGGTCTCCCACCTGGAATTCTAAAGGTTTTCTTCGTTTGTCGGCGTAGCTTTTCTGTCGATCCCTAGCAGCTTTTAATCGTTCACGAATCTGCACAATCTTCTCGGTCGTTTCTCGAATGATCTCCGGACCAGTGAGAGTGCTGTCAGGAACTCGTCCTTTAGCTAACTGAGTGTCACCCACCTCAGCCCAGCACAGAGGGGATCTGCACTTCCGGCCGTAGAGGGCTTCGAATGGAGCTGCCTTGATGCTCATATGATAACTGTTGTTGTAGGAAAACTCCACAAGAGGTAAGTGTGTATCCCACGATTTACCAAAGTCGATCACGCAAGCTCGCAACATATCTTCTAGAGTTTGGATCGTCCTCTCACTTTGTCCGTCAGTCTGCGGATGGTAGGTTGTACTCATATCCAGCCTCGTCCCTAGTCCCTTTTGTAGTGATTGCCAAAACCTTGAGGTAAACCTACTATCTTTATCTGAGATAATAGATATAGGAACACCATGCAGCCTTACTATTTCCTTAATGTATGTTCTTGTGAGTTTCTCCATCTTGTCTGTTTCCTTGATGGGTAGGAAGTGTGCAGACTTGGTCAATCTGTCTACGATGACCCAAATGGTATCCAAGCCACCCGCTGTCTTGGGTAGTTTGGTTATAAAGTCCATTGTAATCCACTCCCACTTCCATTCCGGTATCTCTGGTTGTTGGAGGAGTCCTGATGGCTTTTGATATTCGACCTTGACCTTCACGCAAGTTAGGCACTTACTCACAAAGGTAGCGATCTCTGCTTTCATGTTAGGCCACCAGTATAGCTTTTTGAGATCCAAATACATCTTATCTGAACCTGGGTGGACGGAGTATCGAGTGTTGTGTGCTTCCTTCATGACCAGATCCCTGAAACCTCCATGGTGCGAAGTCCAGATTCGATCCATGAGATAGTAGGCTCCGTCACCCTTGACCTCCAAACTCTTATCCATTCCACACAGGGATTCTCCCGTCACATTCTTAGGTTTCAAGGCCTCAAGCTGAGCCTCCTTGATCTGTGATGACAGATGCGAATGGATAGTCATTGTTAACGATTTGGTTCTTCGACCAGAATGCTCTTTCCTACTCAGGGCGTCTGCTACCACGTTGGATTTTCCCGGGTGATATCAAATTTCAGAATCGTAATTGTTAAGTAGCTCGACCCATCGACGTTGTCTCATGTTGAGCTCGTTCTGGTTTAGTATGTGTTGGAGGCTCTTGTGATCAGTGTATACCACACTCTTCGTCCTATACAAGTATGGTCTTCAGATTTTTAGTGCGTAGAAGACCGCTCCTAACTCGAGGTCGTGAGTAGTGTAGTTCACCTCATGAGTCTTTAGCTATCTTGAGGCATAGGCGATGACCTTACCTCGTTGCATCAAGACACAACCAAGCCCCTAATTCGATGCATCGCAGTATACAACAAAATCTTCAACTCCTTCGGGCAGGGATAATACTGGTGCGGTGCATAAGGCTTGTTTCATGGTCTGAAATGCCTTCTCCCGTTTCTCCTCCCAATCGAATGATACACCCTTTTGTGTCAACAAGGTGAGTGGCTTTGCAATCCGAGAGAAGTTTTGGATGAACCTGCGGTAGTAGCCAATAAGGCCTAGAAATTGGCAAATTTCTGTAGGCGTCTTCGGTGCTGACCAATTCTCAATAACTTTAATTTTGGAGGGGTCAACGTGGATTCCGTCTTCACTAACCACATGTCCTAGGAATTAAACTCTTCGGATCCAAAATTCGCACTTAGAGAACTTCGCATATAACTTCTCTGATCGTATGGTTTCCAGGACTCGTCGTAAGTGATCTCTATGCTCTAGCTTGCTCCGAGAATAGACGAGTATATCATCAATAAAGACGATGATGAACTGATCTAAGTATGGACGACACACCTTATTCATCAAGTCCATGCATATTGCAGGTGCGTTGGTCAGTCCAAAGGGAATCACCACGAATTCGTAGTGCCCATAACGGGTTCGGAAGGCTGTTTTCAGAACATCTTCCTCAAGAACCCGTAACTGATGATACCCGGATCTAAGATCAATCTTGGAGAAGTAACTTGCTCCTTGTAGATGGTCGAATAGATCGTC